CTCTAAAGACTTTTATAAGTCACCTTATGAATTTAAGCTCCTCTATCGTGGCAGTCGAGATGGTTTCGCAGCTTCAAAATTCCATGAGCTTTGTGGTTCTCAAAGTCAGACGGTTGTGGTCGTCAAGATAAACCAAACTGAAAGAATTATCGGCGGTTATAACCCTAGCATTTGGAGTGGAAACATTTATGAAAGATTGATAGGAAATATTCGTGAAAGTTTGATAGGAAACAATTCTGGAATATGTTATGGCAAAGACGCCCCTGATGCTTTTATCTTTTCTATCAGTGGTGGAAACGTAAAGTTTTCACGTAGTGTTTCTGGAAATCAAATCGCATATGATCCTTGTCAAAATACTGGTCCCTATTTTTTTAATGATCTATTTATCAGCGACAAATGCAATCAAAATGCTTCGAGTTGGTATGATCCTAACTACTTTAGAACGCCAAATATAAGTATATGGGATAAAAATACTGATAAAGATTCCAAATATTTTAAAGTGGATGAATTAGAAGTATTTCAGATAATTTTAATTTAAACAACAAATTCTTTTAATTATATAATTTGCAGAAACTCTCACGTCATTATATACTGTATATATAATTAAATAGCTAGTATAACAAATACACCACACTTCGGAAAATGGTTCAGGAGGCATCATACGGTAATACATATTGTCGGAACAAGCAAAGTATAGAACGGGCAATAAAATACCAGTATGTTATGGATTTTTTTTTACTATACTCTATACCTGAACCAATAGCTAACCATTTTCCAAAATAAGTATGGTGTACTTATTATAATTTTCAATCCATACCATACTACTTTGCTTGAATTACCATACGATTAACGTAATACTCTTCAAGGTATAGAGAAAAACGATATTTATTGCCTGTACCATATTTCTTTGTTGGATCCAATTACTGTAGGCCCCTCGTGAACTTACAAAGCTATCAATTAGTACAAGTCTGGCATACCATTGAAAAATCAGTGTATACAATACTAACCATCTCGACTATACCATACTTGTTGTATAGCACCGCGATTCTTACGTTAATAAGTATTGTATGATCAAGCAAAGAGGTATAATATGGTCGAAAATCAATGTATGATATAGATTTTATGCTATACTCTATATCCTGAGCCAATTGCGTAGTCCTTATCCATACCAAATAACGCTTTGTAACCATACAATATTATGGTGCATAAATCTAAAGTTATTAAATGTTTGTATTTTATAAAATGTATAAACTTCTTTACTAAGAATTAATAATAAGATGTACCAAATGTTTAAAACAGTAATTGTTACAAAGAATGATATTATATATAATATCTAAAGTCATTAAATATTTAAATTTGATAAAATGTATAAACTTCTTTGCTAAGAAGTAAATACAAAATTTTATATTTAGAAAGAGTTTATTTGATCATATTTACAGAAGTTTATATATTTCATAAATACAAAGCTTTAATGACTTTAGATATTATGTATTATATTACTAAGAAATTTAGACTAGTTTTTAAGTTGAAATATATTTAGAATTTTGAAATTTAACTTGTATATTTAATTGAGATATTTTTAGTAAAGTATTGCATAATATTTTTATTTTTATTAATAATATACAGATAATAAGAATTTTATGAATCATTTAGTCCCAAAAAAGTAATAGAACAAATATTATTTGATTCTAATAATAGCTGGTGCCATAATTTGAATAACTGATTTGAAACAGGTTTCCAATAATAAATTGGTATATTTAATCAACTCTTGCATAAAAACAAGACTTTATATATAAGAATAGAGTCAGGAAAATAAAAAGAGTTACAAAAATATGAGTATGTTGATGTATATTAGTTATACTAATATATATAGAGTATTCGTCAGAAGTAATCTACTATATCCATAAATTTTCATAAATTATGTATGTTTATAAATTTTTATGCTCCAAATACAATAAATCAGTGACTATAAGACATAATATCTTAATATCTAATGATCCGATTTGAGCAAAAATACTACTATTTTGTTCAAATCGGATTATGAATATTGATATACGTATTATAAATAACTGGGAACATGAAAGTTTACGAATATATGATATCTGATAGACATTCTTTGTGCTTGGAAAATTTTGATATATTACACATGATTTAGGGTAGGTTATTTTTGATGAATACTATGTATTATTGCCTTTATACCTGATATTCTATTAATCAATCTTTATTGATTCACATTTTTCTTATATGGGGCATAACATCTAAAGTTATCAAACATTTACATTTTATAAAATGTATAAACTTCTCAACTAAGAAGTAATTACAAAATATAATCTGTGAACATGATTAAAAAGGACCTATTCTATCATATTCACAGATTAAATCTCTTAGTTGAAAAGTTTATACATTTATAAAATATAAACATTTGATGACTTTAAATGTGTGTATCATAGCGATACGGTAATTGTACGGGTTTTCTGTAAAAATCAATTATTTAATTTAATGAAATTGTATCATTTTTACTTGCAGCTTGTTATTTTTTTGTAATTTAGGATTTAGGCAAAACAGAAATGAAATAATTTAGCCAGACTCACCCGATCATAGACACATAACATACGTGTGAGCTGAAAATAAAATACAGCACGTAAGAATTCACTCTCATCAGAAATCCGACACGAAAAAGGCTCTGAATACTTGATATATAGCGTTACATTATAATCTGTAAGCATTTATCTAAAAATAAATTAATTTTTTTTAATAAATTTTAGTTCTTGAACTTAATACTTTTATTTAGTACACAAATATTATTTTTAATACACATGCACTTGAAATATGTCATAAAATATATGTGCCTATACAGTCAACTCTCGTTAAACTGACTATATTTTTCTTCGATTTAGTGAATGTTAATTAAATATATAACATAGATAAAATATATGGCTGTTAACTTGCATTATATTTATTTAAAGATTGTTGGATTAAAGAAAATATGGTCGGTTTAACTGTATACAGGTTGAAAATATAGAAACGCGTGCAGACGAGGCAAAGCGAGTGTTTCTGTTTAGGTGATATTATATATTAATATGTCTGAAGTTTTTTTAAAATCAAAGATAAGCTTTAATAAAAATCGATGTAATTATACTTTAATTATGTAAAAAATTAATGATATGATAATTTTTGCAAAATTATATAGTTGAAATTTGTCGTTTAAAGTAAATCACCTTTTTAAATACAAAATACTTCAAATTCATCTACTTGGAAATATTTGATAGCATTATTATCATCCCATATATTATTATTCGGCGTGTTAAAGCAACCAGGACGATACCAACTCGAAGTATTTTGATCGCATTGGTCGCTGATGCATAGATCATTATAAAAATATGGGCCGTAAGTAATTTGATAAGGATTATATGCAATTTGATTTCCTGAAATACTGCGTGAAAACTTTACGTTTCCATCACTGATAGAAAAGATAAAAGCATCGGGGACACTTATAAAATACATTTGTCTGTTATAAACACTTCCACCTCCCCAAGTGCTAGGGTTATAACCGCCGATAATTCTTTCAGTTTGGTTTATCTTGACGACCACTACCGTCTGACTTCGAGAACCACAAAGCTCATGGAATTTTGAGGCTGCGAAACCATCTCGACTGCCACGATAGAGGAGCTTAAATTCATATGGTGACTTGTAAAGGTCTTTAAAT